TCCTGGTGGTTTGCGCTCCTCACCGCCTGCGGGTACCCATACCGAAAGCTCAAGGCCCTCTTCTAACTAATTTCTCTGTAGTAGTTTTTCACTTGGATCAAGGCCATTAACAGAACTGAGAGAAGCAGCTAACTGCAGTAGGGGTACCCAAAGACATGACCAGGGAATACTAAATGGGGAGACCCTTCACGCTAGGAACAATGACCCTCTAAGAATGCCAGAACCAGCTTTTAAGAAATCACGTGTAAGCGGAAGTTGTGAGTCAAAGGCATTATTAGCAATCCCTGTTGTTTCACAGTATATCTCCTCTAGGAGCCTGGAAACAAAACATTTCCCATTTCTTTGCTGGGTCTTGTCTTCCTGCCTTTGCTTTGATTGCCCTGCTTCATCACAGCCTTCTTATCCAGAAATAAATGTTGGTTTCTGTGGACCTCATGCTGTTTGTTTTAACAAATCTTTATTGTAGACTGAAAGCCCTTTCGATGTGCTGAGTAATGCTATTAAATCTAGCTCTGTAGCTGTGAAGGTGGGATTTTGTTACAGAGAGAAATGTGATGTTTACCCTACTCCCACTGATTTCTGTTATGAACTTTGGTTTCAGGCTATCGGAAGCAAGACCGGGAGATATGTGACTGATTCTAGTGCAGTCTGGGCAAAGATTCAGGGAAATGAGCAGAGCTGGAGAAAAGAGAGGTTTCCAGGCATCCAGCTCATCCATCAGTCTGCTGATTGTAGCAGACAAGTTTTGAACCAAACTTCCAGGAGAATCAAGTTATCTCACTATCTGTAGAAGTCTGAAAATCCTTATTAACTTGAGTCTAATTATTCCTTTTCTCTTTGTGCAGATCCTAGAAGAAAGTATCATGTAAGGCTGCTGGCATATAACAGTATGGAAGAAGGTTACCAGGCAGACCAAACAGTCAGCACTCCGGGATGTGTCTGTAAGTGTTCTAGATGCATGAAGAATTTATTAAGATCTGAGCTGTTTCAAGGTCCCAGCAGCTCTGTGTTTTTAACCTATAAATAATCAATTAATTCAGTGTCAAACAAAGAACCAGAAAGATCATATCTGTGACAAATACTATCCAATCATCCTGCAACTGAGACGGTCTCCTGTGTCCGTGAACTGCAGCTGAGGAAACAGGATAGCTGCCAAGCACATTTTCCTCCCCTACTGGGTTGTCTGCATCATCTAACCAGAGACATATCGTGTATCTCATGAGAGATTTATCTCTCTCCCTTGTCTCTGTTTATAGTTTTGACTTTGTTTTTGACTAAACAAGTGGGAATGCAGTAGTAATATGTGACATGTATTGGGTCAGGAGGGATCTTTAATAGCTTGAACCAGATTCCTGGGTCTGAATACCAGGCATTGCTGGGTAGGGGGAGCTTTGAATCTAAACCTGTGGGCTCAGACCTCTATCTTAATCTGACCAGTATCCATATACAGTTCATTAAATTATTTGTGCTCCTTCTTTGTTTTAAACAGCTGTCCGTGATCGCATGGTGCCACCGCCACCACCTCCTCACCACCTCTATGCCAAAGCTAACACTTCATCTTCTATCTACCTTCACTGGGGAAAGCCTGCCTTTACATCTGCACAAGTGATTAACTACACAATCCGCTGCAACCCAGTGGGGCTACAGAATGCTTCTCTGGTTCTCTACCTTCAAACGTAAGTGCAGCACTACTAATGAGTCTTGGTTTCTCATTTTCAGATCCTTTGCACTCAGTTTCTAGTCTTCCTGCCCTCTCTTAACTGCCTTCTACCATAACAACTTTCACCTCCCTTAGAGGACTTTGTCTTTTGCCCAGTGGCTGCTAGTTCTGTTTCTCGGGTTATTTAAGATGTGTTCTGGAGAACAGCTTAATTCTCTAGCTATGATCCCCGTGTTGGATGAGCTCTTGATTTTTTAATGACTTTTTAGCTGTCTGAGTTGAACTTAATTTTAAGCTCTTCTTAACCAAACAAAAGATGTTACCTATTTTATAGGTAGCTTGTCTGGGCAAAAATGGGACTTAGTCCAGTGTCTGATTTTAAGACTGGAAACAAGAATTTTTGAGTCTTGTGGGGCTGAGCACATTATTGTGGGAATGCCACGTTCCTGAATGTGTGGTAGCCTGCGAGGAGAAAGCTGAGTAGGAACTATAGCTTGCTGTTCAGAGAAGCAGTGCATGAGCCACAGAATGGCAGAACAGGGAGGAAATTCTGCCTAGTCTTGGTGTTCAACTCTCTGCCCGGGTGCTATGGGAGCAGAAGACTTTGCTCCATTGTGTGACTGCCTGTGCTGGGGGCTCTGGTGCTGTCGAGGGAATCCGTATGTGTGCAGCTCTCTCAATACCTGGGTTTACTCGAGCCTTCTAAAAAGAAAAATGCTGTCTTAAAAGATAGTTTCCATTGTAATATTGATGGTTTTCTCTTCAAAGATCACATTCCCTGCTGTGTAACTCCTGACTTAACAATTAGACACAGTATAATTGCCATTTAGACTTCTTAGTGTGCAGTATGGAGCATAGCAATGAATGCGGCTATGTGATAGGATGAGACTATTGCAAATATATTGGTGACTGCCTTTGCTTATGGAAGATGAAAATACTAAATGAGATTTAATAAAACAATATCTGTAGATACCATTTTAAATTGTGATTTAATCTCGACTTAGGTATTATCACCTGGAATTAACCTTGGTGTATATGAAAGATTTCCCCCTGCCTCTAGAATCAAAATAAAGAAGAATGTCTACAATTGACTTTGTGATCAAATAGTAAACTACAATATTACAATCAATATTATCAACTTTACAATTAATAAATTACCAAATATGACTACAAGATGAGTAGGGAAATTTCTACTCTGTAGACATCCCCTAAACATGAGGTGATAGAGGCTGTAAGTGGAAGTAGCACACATAGCCTATGTCTGTTCTGTGAACTGAGAAGCAGATCCAGGAATAGCTGATGGAGCCAACAGCACATGCGTCTTCAGCTGGGCTGCTGGTTGTAGTTTAAGTGTTACTCCAGCTTGAAGCATAGTGTCCTTATGGACAAATGTGGAAAGAGCTGAGTTTGGGATACCTACTGGTGATCTGGGCAATAAAATTCTTGGTCTTGCTTGTGGATCAGCTGTCCAAACAACCTTTATGAAAACTTGAGCTCAAGTCAACTGACAGCAGACATAGTATCCTCCAGAGAGCTCCAGGATTAGTACAATTACATTTTGAGGTAGACAGCGCAGATGGACCATGTGTCTGGGCTTGAACTGGTTTGTCTTGTGTTGAACTGACAGTGAGAATCTACTCACAGTGACTAAGAGATATTATTTGAATTTGGGATCTTCAAGTCAACTGCGGCTGTTAAATTTATTTTATTCCTTCATCTGTACAGGTCAGAGACTCACATGTTAGTTCAAGGTCTTGAGCCGAAAACCATGTATGAATTTGCAGTTCGGCTGCATGTGGACCAGCTCTCTAGTCCCTGGAGTCCAGTAGTCTACCATACTACCCTTCCAGAAGGTAAGACACTAGGAGAGGACCACGTGGTTCTAAAAAGAAAGCTGTGTAAACCAAATGTCCTGAAAAATTGCTTATTAATTTTAAGCTGTCTGTAGGAGAGAGAGATACTTTCCTCTGAGATACAGATATTGCTCTTCTCGGTGAGAGATAGCAAAATGCTGTCAGGAAAATCCTTGTTTTGGAACTGTGAAATTATTTTTCAAAATCTACCTAAAATCAGCAACAATTTTTATTAAAAAAATGTGATATATTTACACCATTAGCAAACACTGAATTGAAATAACTTGAATGAAAAATTCAGAATATGTATGGAAGAGGCATGGCTGATTCGTAGGCATTATGAGAACATATTCTAAAACCCAGAAGTTTTAGAAACTGTAAAAATATTACATCTACTGCCCTAGCTGCTGGTTTTTCTGTCAGCTTAGTCAGTGAAAGTTCAGTTTCATGTTCTCAGCATTGCAATGTTGGGATGTATCTGTTCACAGCATAATGATGTGGGGTTTTTTTGTCAATAACTGTTTCCTTCTGGAGTTAAAGGAAAAATATGAAATTTGCTTTTACAAGATGTAAGCTATTGACCAGATCAGAGTTAAGAGGAGTGTTTTTCTTGAGGAGCAGTATGTGTTTGTTTATAAGTTTATCGGGGATGTAGCAGTAGCCATTAGGTCTGCACGTCCATTTCTTTCTGAGCAATTTAATTGCATGTAAATGAGGTTAGCCTAATAGCATTGTGTTACTGTTCTCACAGCACCATCTGGCCCTCCAGTAGGAGTGAAGGTGACTTTGATAGAGGATGATACTGCTTTGGTTTCCTGGAAGCCACCTGATGGTCCTGAAACAGTTGTTACACGATATACTATCCTCTATGCATCCAGGAAGTCTTGGATTGCTGGGGAATGGCAAGTGTTGCACAGAGAAGGTAAACTAAAAGCATAAACCTATGAACTGGACAAACTGTGACACTACTTATAGGATGCTTTGTTACTTTCAGCTCCCTAGGATTACACTAATAAATTCATTCATATAAATGTTCACATAAAAGTTCTAATTAATTAAGAATTATTCCCATGGTCATGATGAAAATGTGTTAAAAACCAATTAATACTCAGAAGGTGAGGGGGGAGCGGCTGTGTTGCTTTGGAGCTCAGTGTGTGCATGTGAACCAAAATGTCTCATAAATCCAATTACATCCATCTTAGTTCTGTTGTAACCGTGCTTGTGATGGTTTCATTCTGTAAATCATATCATCACAGAATCATAGAATGGCCTGGGTTGAAGAGGACCTTAAAGATCATCTAGTTTCAACCCCCCTGCTCTTGGCGGGGTTGCCAGCCCCTAGAGCAGGCTGCCCATGGCCCCATCCAGCCTGGCCTTGAACCCCTCCAGGGATGGGGCATCCACAGCTTCTCTGGGCACCCTGGGCCACTGCCTCACGCCCCGCACAGTGAAAAATTTCTGCCTAATATCCAACCTAAATCTCCCCTCTCTTAGTTTAAAACCATTCCCCCTCATCCTGTCACTATCACCCCCTGTAAACAGTCGCTCCCCCTCCTGTTTACAGGCTCCCTTCAAGTACTGGAAGGCCGCAATGAGGTCTCCCCGGAGCCTTCTCTTCTCCAAGCTAAACAAGCCCAGTTCCCTCAGCCTGTCCTCATAGGAGAGGTGCTCCAGCCCTCTGATCATCTTTGTGGCCTCCTCTGCACCCGCTCCAAGAGCTCCACCTCCTTCTTGTGCTGGGGGCCCCAGGCCTGGACACAGTACTGCAGATGGGGTCTCACAAGAGCAGAGGGGGACAATCACCTCCCTCTCCCTGCTGGCCACCCCTTTTTTCATGCAGGCCAGGACGTAGTTGGCCTTCTGGGCTGCAAGCACACACTGCCGGCTCATGTCCAGCTTCTCGTCCACCAGGACCCACAAATCAGAAGTCTCTGAGATGCCTTGCTCTCCATATATAAACTTAAAATTGTGGCTGTGTGGGCTTATATGTTTCTGTCGATCACTGCCAATCCAGTTAGCTCAGTTTGCTTAATGAACTTCCCCTACTCCCAGTAAATTGCTCTGCAAATTCAGTTTAGCTCTCTGGCTCTATTCTGCTGCTGAGCCCCAGCTAGCTAATCTAGCAGTAACTCAGGTATGGTGATAGGAACTGCAGTCACATCTTTATGATTTAGATGTAGATCTAGTCTAAATTTTTACAGGCACTTTACAGAAAAATACTACAATTTGAAGAGCTGCATCAAGAACAGATTTCTAGTATAGCCAGAAAAAAAGGAAAACAGCATTTACTGTTCAGTTGGTGTTCAAAATAGAGGCAGTTCAGAATAGATAATGTTCTAATAATGTATTAAACCAGAGAGGGAAGCTCAGTGTTACAGAGTAAAGTCATGTGCTTGAGTAGCTTATTTAAGAGGATTGGCCAGGAAGAGTTACTATTTTGTTGTTCTGTGGTGTTTCATGGCTGAAAGGTTAGTTGTCAACAGAGAGTGAGGCTTTAAATTTCCTGTGGAGAAAATTAATAAAACTTAATGAGTACGTACTCACAGAGGATGAGTCCTTTCGCCATCGGTGAGAGTGAACTGTTCTGGTTCAAAGGTGGTAGTTGTCCTTTGTGCTGCTCCTGAGGGGAGGACAGGGGACCAACAGCCACTTTGAAAGGTGGCACTGCTGCTTTGTCTTTGCTGGAGCAGAATGGTATTTGTCGGGCTGGCCTCAAAGAGGATGGTCAGCTGTGAAGAATAACAGTAAAATGGCTATTAAGCAAAATTTGTGAAAAATAACTAGTCTCTGAAATATCAGTGAGGTCTAACTATAGGGGGAAGATTGAGCCCACGGTTTTCCACTATTAAAATTGTTCAAAGAAACAGTGATATAAAGTTCTCCAATTAAACTGTTGAAAGAAACAGTGATCTAAAGCTGTCATATTACAGGACCAATTTAATATTAATTTTTACTCACTAGAAAAACCAGTAGATGTAAATTCACAGAGAGCTTATATTTGAAGAATAAATCTTGTCATTCTGGTGATGATAACACTGTGTTTGTTGTATGCAGCAAAGTGTCTGAATTGTTTTCAGGTATATACTTCAGCTCAGCCATGGCTGTGAAACTGAACAGCACCACAAATAGTATTTTACCACAGGTATTTTGGATGAGAGGATGGCAGTAACAGTAAACATTTTCATGTGTTCCCATACTGAAAGTGTTGGAGGGAATGAGCAAATGGAGAGCTATAAATCTGAGTGTATTACTATGTCCATCAATGTCAGAGTCACTAATTTTTTATTTTGACAGATATATTAGGGTTTGAGGGATGGCAAGGAATTTGGGCATCTTGACACGTTAGGACAATCTGTAATGCTCTTAGTTAAAGTACAGATGAAAAAGTCTGTGAAAGAAAATTAGTATGTAGAGATAAAATTGGGCAAATTCTATGATAGTCCTGTGACAGTCTTTTCACAGGTAATTTGAGGTAGATGCAGGGTTTAGGTTTTTTTAGTGCATTTATTCTGATAAGATCAGCTAACCCTATACAATTAATAACATTGTTTTGTCTTGACACTACACTTGTACTGCAGAAGATTTGTGAAATCTTAACCCCATTCCCTTCTCACACCTTCAAAGACACTCCCCCCAAATAAAAAAAATTAAAAACCCCATCAAAACAACAAAACCACAAACCAACCCATCATCTATAGAAATCCTAGCATGGAATTTAGTTTCTGCATGAAAATTTCTACCAATCTATGGATTTAAAAACCAAAACCCTCTAATTTGATTGAGCTTGTGTTGGGCATGGCAGAATTAGAAATTATAACTGCAGTTTGTTGCTGATTCATCATGTGAGTTCTCTTCCAGCCACCCTCCCCCCCTTTTCCGTAGTTCTCTTCCAGCGGATCAGAAGTTACAGCCTTTACACACTTGGTGTGCAGTAAATCAGTACAAAGTGGTTACTTGCTTTAGTAATGCAGCAGATTTGAAAGGAGCTGGTGGGAAAGAGCCTGTAATATTGAAACGTGACCTTTCGCCCTTGCTGGTGCTAAATATTACAGCTCCTTTGGTTACAGATACCTCACGTTTTACTTCAAATGCTTTCAGCTAATGGGTGTTTTTTACGGAAGAGCTGAAATAGCTTTTGAAGTAGCTTCCCTTTTGCCAAATGTATAATCTCTTCTGTCAACAAAACAACCTTATATTTTATATGCTCCCATGATACTATAAATCCTGACTTCTGAAACAGATTTGAAAGGTTGAAATTTAGACTTAAGTCTGAGAAAGTGAATGGAATATGTGAAAGAGAACAAAGGATAGATTTGTTCCTGTTTTTTTTGGGAAAGAAAAGCAATATATTTCTATGGTAGGAAGAAACACAGGCATTTTAGAAAGGAATTAGAATTCTAAGCAGCAGTCTGCAGTCCCTGTACAGGCAAAGCTCTCATTGACTTTGATAGGAGTTTTGCCTGTCTAAGGACAATGCAAGTGAATCCTATTTATGTTCTTAATCTGTTTTTCCTGCCTTCAGGGACTTTAGGAAATGAATCCTTAGCATGTGAGAAAGACATTTGCTCTAATATTTTTAGTAACACAGATGCACAGTAATCAAGGAAGCCTACATAGGTCTGAATCGGGTTTAGTTTTATTTTAAAAGTGTGGTGTAATGTACTCTTCCAAATCTGTCCTGTTCATTTTGCCAACTAAACCTGAAATTTTATAAACTGAACCTGAATTATTTTGTTATGATGATTTTCATACATGGTACGGTGGATCTAGGAGAGGCACATGGTATATGAGAGATGCTTTCTCTGCCTGAAAGTCTGGTTGATGCTTGGAGCATATCTTCACAGATATGATCACAACATAAACACTATCACACTGAAATGCAGCTAGCGCTAAATTTGGGATTAGTATGCTCTGTATTGGAGCCAATACTTGACTCTTTGAACTACACTGGCACTTCACAGTGTGTTGTGTTCAAGCAGTATGGAGAGAAAGCACAGAAGGGACAAGAAGGCAACCCCAGTATTCATTCTGTACCCTGTATGTGGAAGTTAAAACATATGAAAGTGATCACAGGCCTCAAACGAGATTTGGAGGTGGTAGTGAAAGAAAGTGTAGGTCTCAATGTCTAAATCTCCCACAAATCTTGTCTAACTGGAACTGTTTATCAAATCTGTTCATAGGAGCAATGACCATGGCTTTGCTGGAAAACCTTGTAGCAGGAAATGTCTACTTGGTCAAAATAGCAGCCTCCAATGAAGTGGGAGAAGGACCTTTCTCAAATGCGGTAGAATTTGCTGTCCTGCCAAAGGAGACATCAGAATCTAATCAGAGACCTAAACGCTTGGATTCGGGAGATTCTGCAAGTCAGTAGCAATGTTTTGATTACTGCTGTCACAAGGGAAAAAGATCCCTGTTTGTTTTGGCTTGTAACCACTTTCTGGGTAAACCATTCTGTTTTATGTGAGGCAGTCCTAACAGTGTAGCATCTTCTTCTAAATTAAACCATTTTGGAATTTTTATCGCAGTTCAACTCAGAACTGGTTTAATTCTTTTGCTCAGAAGTTGGCAGCTTGCCTTTCAAATTAGAATATAAAACTGCTTTGAATTTTATGTCAATATCAACTTTGCAGTCACTCTTCTACGGCACTTCCTTTAAGTCCTTTATTTGGCGTGAGATACCAGTAGCATTGGGTCAGTTAGAACCAGGCAGCACAACAGAAATAAAACAGCATCTCAAATAAATCCGTTGAAATTTGCTGGTTCCTGGTATTCCAGCAACCCAAATCAAACTGTCAGTCAGTGATATACCAGCACATATTTTCACCAAAGAAGTCAGCCCAACCTGCAGCTCTTTGGGGAAAACTATGTGTTACCTTGTGGAAATTAAGGTAACATCAGTGGTTTCTCTGTAGAAGAACACATAGCCTTTGTCTGACATAGAATGGGATTTATCTTGGTGACTTGTTACAAATTTTGAAGCTATTTGGGGAGACAAGAGCTAGTAGTTATTCAGGTACATGATCCTTTTAACCTTTCCTTGTTGCTGTACATTGAATTGTGATTAAAACACAGGGATTTTTCTTGGTCAGGTTTTCTCCCTTCTTGGAATTCAGTTATATTTTAGTCCTGAAAAAGCAAATAGAGTCATGCCCTCAGAATTAGGTTAATAGACATATGATGTCAAACCATAAACCGAACTGAACCCTCCCATGTGACAGTGGCTGGAATTCTCCAAGCCTTTTCCATTTGTTGTCTAGTAGCACCCTGTAAGGAAGGGGTTGAAGAGTGCTCCTCTGCTGCATGTTGTAGGTCACCAAAGAGGCTGTGGTGTGGAGTAGTCCACCAGGACCACATACACTCCTCTGTTTGGTCTACAGGTTTTATTTTCAAAAGTGTCAAAATGTATGACAGAGAAGATCTGGAAGTCTCATAAAAAGGAAGCATTTGTCTCTGTGGTTGTGACTGTAACCCAATTAACTTCCTGACAGGGAGGAGGGGGTAACTCTTCTTATTTACTGAGCCTTTCTATGCTCTTTTTTGCTATAGGTTATTCTGACTACTACCATCTGGACCAGAAATCAATGACTGGCATTGTTGTTGGGGTTTGCATAGCCTTGACCTGCATCCTTATCTGCATCCTGATCTTAATTTATCGCAGTAAAGCCAGGTATGTTTTTATTCTTGAACATGGAGGTCTTTCTCAGTGCACTGATTCTTGGGACATACCCTCTTCTCCAAGAGTGCTAAGTTCTCTGAAGTACCCTGTCTCTTCACCTATTTCTACCAGCAGTGGAAACAAAGCACTTTATTGGCTCTTCCTACTCCAGCTGAGCCCCTTCTCCAATAAAAAGAAGGAAGAACCCACAGAGTGAGTCAGTGGTGCTTTGACAACTAAGTGTGAGGCATGTTTCCAAATAAAAAACCCTTTTGAGTCAGATAAGCACGCTGCTTTACCTCATCTACTCCTCCTGCTTAACCCTCCAGCCTGCATAGACCTGGTTTGCAAGGCTTTAACCCTCAGGTGTTGCTGGACAAGAGGAGCTCTCACATAAAGCAGTTCCATGATGCAGTTTTTTTGCAGTGGTGCAAGCCACCATCTGTCTTGTCATCAGCTGCTATGGGGCATAACCTGTCCCAGTGACTCTGCCCGTAACTTTGGGATCAGAACAAATGTAAGTTACTTAAAATAAAATTTTAAAAAACTGTCTGAAAGTATATTTTGGTAACAAGGGCTTTTTTAGCATACGTGCAGGAAAAATATGGATTGGGAGACAGTCTCTGTGTAGCATGGTAGAAAGGTCTTAATATGATTAGTGGATATTTCCTCCAAGTAATACTACTAATCATAAGAATTCCTGTCTGCGCGTAAGCTTGTAGCCTACTGTGTATGATTAACTAGAAGCAGATGTTATTTTTATCACAAGTAATAACATTTAAATTCCATGAGAGGTAGGAGTATGATATAACAAAATGTAAATGCCAACAATATACCAATATTACTTGATTAATAATAGCTTTGAAGTTTATCCTTGATTCTTTTTTTGTATTTTCTTGCTGTGGGTCAATTTTATTCCTGCTTAACATTGTGTAGGAAATCATCTGCTGCTAAACCGGTGCAGCAAAGCACTGACCAGCTGTCACATACCAGCATCTCATTAGCCAGTGCTAATGAGATGGAGAAAAGTATTGAAGGAATTGCAGAGAATGAAGAATCCTTATTGCCAATGATAGTGGGAAACAGCTTCATCGATGCTAAGGTACTGTGAGCTTTACTCACCCGTGAAACAGAAATCTTTCTTTGGAATTCATTGCTATAATGTGGGAGTCCTTATCAAAAGTAATATATGTACATGACAAATCCACTGGAGTTTTGGGTTTTTTTTAAAAAACAGGGTCAAATTCTCAAAACTTACCTTAAAGTTCAGCTTCGATACTTGTCTTACACTGTACTCTGCAATCTGCTCTGGCACAGCATCAAAGGATAGAAGCTCCATAGACTTAGGGCTGCTAGGTGGCCTCTGCTAGTCCAAGGAAGTAGTGAGAGAGTCCTTGTCAGCACCTCGTTCAGTCAGTGGCCACATCTAGACACTAAGCAGGTATTAAAAAAATATTATTTTTCTGAATATTTACTGGTAAGACAATGTTACATTTTATAAATTCATGTTTGGTCAAATTATAAATTAATCTAAATGGCAGGACATATATCAATGGATGTGTAGAATCTTACAGTCCAGGAGTCCAGTGTGACAAAACCACACTGACCTCACTTTCACATGCAGAAATACTGATCTAAAGCTTGTTCTATGCACACTGCACACTCGAATGGAGCTGCTCCCTGAGGATATAGGCAAGAGCTGGGAAATGGAAATGGACTCCAGTACATGCACAGACCCTATATCTGTGAGTGGTCACATTCAAAGTAACAGAGCAAGAGCAGTGGCTGGAATATTTTGCTGTGTGGTTGCAGCATTATAGCTATTGAGTCTGGCCTGTGGGCTTACCAGATTTAGGGGATCTGGTTTTGACTTGGCTCAAGCAGTAGATGAATACCAGACCACAAAAACGTGACTGAGCACTAAGACTGCATTGGTCTTCCTTTTCAGTCTGGAGCCAATAGGTAGGAATAGAAAACTATTATCAAATATCTTAGAAATTTAGTTTGTTAAACTAAATGTCTGTGCATCTTCCTCTATTGTAGGGGGGATCTGATCTGATTATTAACAGCTATGGGCCTGTCACAAAGGCTAACTGCAAGAAAAAGTGGCTGTTCTTCCAAGATGCTAAGAAGGTGAAGACTGAGGAGGTAATTGGTCTAATAGGCAGAGATGTGCAATCTTTACTGTAATACCCTGTGTTTGCAAAGGAAGATACGCAGTTTTCTATTTATGGAAAAGCATAATTAGTGGTCTAAGTTTTAATTGGATTCAGTTGTGTTAAGGATGATGGTGTTCTACCTTGTAGTAAAGTCTTATGGAAGTTTCATCTTCTGTCCCAAGTTGCCAGGTATTGTAACTCTTTACAGTTAACTGATTACTTTTTCACCTGCGTCCTTTTATCTGTAAGCAAAAGGATTTCTGTGTACTGGATCTATGCATAGCATCTACTACATAGTACTACATCTGTAGAGACTTTGTATAAATATAAATTTAAATTAAAAAGGTACTTATAAATAAAAAAAATAGAAAAATATAAAGAATCCCCTCCTACCCTGACAGCTAAAACTTTGTTTGCTGAAGAAAAACAAAAGAGAGAAGTCAAATGATTTACCCAAAGTGCTGAAGAAATTGAGAATCTGAGTAGAACTGTCTGGCTTCTGAAATTCTTGCTCTGGACATATTTGCTATTTGGATGAGAAAAATAACAGTTTAAAACTGAAGTGTTAAACCAAATCCTGAACATTATAATGCAAATTCATGCCTATGGGGACATCTAAATAATGTTTATTGAATTGTAACTTCTGTTGTGCTCTTGTATGTTTAAGGAATAGGAATTATTAATATCCATGTTGTAAATTTGTATTCCAAAATATTTCCAGAAGCAGCTGCATATTTTTGATGCCTCTATAAGAAAAATATTTGCTACCACCCCAGGAGTACTGCTTAAAGAATATGCATGAAGGGATGGGAGGGAACTCTACCAAGTATGTTTTTAAAATATCATTCAAGTCTCTCCAGTGAAATAATTCTTTATTAGCCATGCTTAGCTAGAAGGGATTATTTAATCTGTTTTGGAAAAGAAAAGTATCAGCAAGGCCTGCGACTGATTCTTTTTAACCTTCTGTAGGAAAGCCCAAATTGTTCTGAACCAATGATGTTAGAGGCACTCTGGCAGAATAGGAGATAGGAAATGCAGTAAAAATTCAAATTATGTCTCAGCTTTTCGGTGCTGAACAACCTTTTTCTCTCTGCTTTTTACATAGCCTCAGAGAAGATTTGTCCAGGCAGTGTGTCTGTATCAGCCAGGCACCACTGTGCTGATCAGTGAGGATGACTCCCCCAGCTCTCCTGGCCAGCAGTCTAATTTCCAGGTGCCATTCAGTATTGTTGCGGATACGGAGCATTCAGCCAACAGTGAAGGGAGCCATGAGACTGGTGACTCTGGAAGATTTTCTCATGAGTCCAATGATGAGATTCACCTCTCCTCTGTGACAAGTGCCACCCCTCCAACTACCAGTCCTTTTGTAAGCAGTGACTTGGGTACAAACATGATGAGCCCTGCCATAAGTAACTGCACAGAGTCTCCTCTGCCGTTCGCTACTGACCAGACTCCTACCTCACCTCCTCCGATACACTCTGCGGCACAAAACTGACATCCTGAGGGCCACGCCAGACATTCTTGCAGTGTATGTCTGTTCGAAGGACAATGAACAGGGAGCCAAAGTTTTATTGTGGAAAGCCTGACTAACCTAGCAGGTGATCCTGTATTTCTGTTGAATGTTTTTTTTTTCTTTAAACTCAGTTTGAATGTTCAGTGGTCAACAAATGTGAAAGGACAGTGAAGATTTCTGACTAAAGTTAAAAATATGTCACTGGAGCAAAGGGAAGGCTGTTGACCCTTTTGCTGACTATCTACCTCAGTTTGCCGAGAGGTGAACTCTGAATGACGACTGCTTTACCTCATTTGTGTTCTAGTTGGTCTCAGCTATGGAACTGATGATACTTCCTAGTAGTGTTGTTTTATTTTGGGTTTCTTTTTTTGTTTGTTTTCAGTTGTGTGTAGAATATGTGTGTGTGTATGTGTGTTTGTGCGCGTGTGCGCTCAGTGATCAGGGAGTTGTATAGGTAGGTAAACAAGATTGTTTAGCTGAAGCTCTGTCTTTAAAAAGAGGAAGCCTCAGAGTATAAAATGTAATGATTTAATGGGGTTGACACAGAGGATGTTAAAAACTGGGAAAACTGGAGTTGGTGCTTCCACGTATACAGCCACATGAAGTCTTGTACCTCTTGATTTCTTATAACACCAGTAAGCCTGGGACAGTGCCTTTCCCCCAGAAACTTGTGCCGGCAACTGGTGACACAATGTATGCTATATCCTTAGGACTCTGGGACATGTTGGATTCCCCCTGGTGACAGATGTTGCCCCTTTATTGGAAGTTAATCCTAAAAAGCATGGCAAAATGAACAACTATTCAGCATTTCCAAACAGTTTGGCTCTACCCGAGTGTCATGGAATAGATAATATTCCATGTATTCTAGTATCACAGTACTTCTTAGCAATGGTGCCTTGCTTTATATATGATGAAATTACTGATTTGCCTTATGCCTTTTTAGTATTCATAAAGTTGCTTTGGAGTACAGAAAGATGCCTTAAATGCTTCTGAGATGTTTTAAGTAAACTGCATCATGAGTTTATAGTTCGTTTTTACCTAGCTTTGAGTGCTGATAAGCACTGCTAGCATTGTAGTATGTCTCAGAGCTGTTGTTAGGATGCAACCCTGTTCCTTGCTTTCACCTAGTGTGCTGTTAGGCAGGAATTTTAGCTCAGGGAGTGACTTTAACCACATGCCAATCTGAAATTCTGATGAGGCTACCATGAGAAATGAAAAAGCCAGAGCTTTAGTTGAAGAGTCTGTTGAAAGAGGTGAGTACTGCTACTGCCTTGAACCCATACAATTCCTGTTTTATACTACCTCCTTTAAAAGTTATTCTAGTGTTTTTTGGGGTTTTTGTTGTTGTTTTTTCCTGTACTCAGGGAACAGTTTGTTACTTTTGAGCTGCCTCACGGAAATGTGGAGCAAACTGACAGGGTATCGTGTTTTGTTTCTTAATAGGAGAGACAGAGAGAGGGAGGAGTTTGGAATCATCCAATGTTATAAACTTGCCTGTATCTATATCCAGTCTTCTTCTCTACTCCTCCGCTTTCCCTGTTTTACTTTAAAAAAAAAAAAAAAAAAAAAGAAAAAAAAAATTAGGCATATGTTTTTACTTCAAAAAAACATTTATAATGTAATGTTGAGAGAAAGCAACCATAGGAACTTCTGGCTCTATTTAAGTCTGTCAAAACTCCCATTGACTTTACTGGGGACAAGATGTCACCCTTAAGGTAGGCCAGGCTGACTTTTGTATGATTCCTCATGTATCAGAAAGTGGTCAGAAGCGGTCAATAAGCCCTACTGTTCTGTCTGTTTTGTGTTGATGAATCAGCCTCTAGTTACTGTAGTTCTTTACCTTGTAACTGTTTGCTAGCTCAGTACACGTTCACCTTTTCGTAACTGTTTTCATTCAAATGCTTTAAAAATAATCTTATACCAAAGACTTTTTTGTAGAAGAGAAGGAAGCCACATATTGTCCAAAAATAATTGAAATAGTTAAAACCTATAGGTTTGAAGAGCTGAATACATTTTATTGTATACGTAGTTACTAACAAAAAATAATAGGGCTCCTTGGTTGTAGTAGTTGATTGCATAGATGAGTTGTATGCTTCTACGATTTTAACTACCTTGCTATTACAAGAGCCTTTAAAGAAAGTTATAATACCAGCAGATATCTCCAAAGACTTCCTAGTGTAATTTTTTTCTCCAGCATGTAGCTGATCAACAATACAGTATTAAAAAAAAATATTTTTGAACCGTTTTTTATCTACTTGCTGAAGAAAAAGAAAACCTTTTCACCAAAGATTTATTTTTGGTCTCGTCAGGCAGAATGTTTAGTGTACAGCAGAGTACTCTTTCTAGTTAGGTAAAGTGTGAATTAATCAAAACTAGATTAAGAATGTGTAACTGTAGCATGAAGTTTCACGCTTCATCTTTCAGAGTAGCCTCTTTTGTTAGTTTCATTCTGAAAGAGCTGATATGCAGACGGTAACTGTTTGCTTCTCCAAAGACTTGTTTGCTGTAAGTACTGATAATCTGATACAATTTTATGACTTTCATTACAGGTAAAATACTTTAAATCCTAAACTTTTTCTTCCAGAGACCCACTCTGTAGTTAAACCCGTGGATAATTTGAGAGAAACAGACTTCATATAAAATTGTCAGTCTAATATAGATGCTCTAACTTCAGTAGCCAAAGAGTTGAAAATATTCCATGTATTGGAGAGCAGTGCATCCAGTGCATTCATCACATAATGTTTTAAGGTACTTTTTATCAGCAAATAAAGAAAACCAAAGATATTTAAGGTTACCTCAGCATATAGGCAAGCTTATTTAGACATTAATTATTCTGTCTTTTTCTTTTTTTTTATGTTAACCAAATATAATACATTTCTCCAGAACCCAGTCTACATTCATGTCCTTCTCTTTACCTTGCCACAGTCAGGATTCCTACAGAACAAAAAAGAAGTTCTCCTCAAAATTCATGGCCTATTACTAATATATCACAAGATTTGGTGAGAGAAAATTTGTCTTATGATTGAAAACTCCACCAATGTAAGCAAAGGAATCTCCAGAAAAATTGTGTAGAAATAGATACTTTCTCTATTGAACTGAATAGCAGAATCAATCCTTCATGATTGTAACAGTGCAAAATTGAGCTCAAAGCTTAAATGCTTTATATGCTTGAAGCCAACACATGTAATTATAGATATGATATTACAGATATTAATTTTCTTTGAAGTTTATACCTGTGGATATCTAAGAAAATCAGTTTTTCATATGTAAACTTTGTTCATTCCATTTGCCTAGAAAGAGCTGGCAGAACACAGCAGGCAGAATGCTTTCAGGTTTTCCAGTATTTTTTTTCTTGGTTATGTCTGTAGAAACTGGGTCCTGGAGAAAAAAAAATATCATTTTTTAATAATGAATTTTACTAAATATGTTCTGGAAGATGAACATAAATGTGGAATTTAGTGTTACACTATGTGAATTGATTTTGTTTAAGTGTATTAAGAACTAAGAAGCCATGGCTGGTGTAATGAATGTATATGCAACCCTTGTACTTCAAAAAAAGAAGGCAAAAATGTTACAGTTGATATGTCTTGAAAAGCATCAAAACTTATAGAGGAAATCTTGAAACTTGCTTACCATGCTAATTGTGTTTCCAAGTGAGGACTCTGCCCTTCCACTGCAACAGCAATGCCTGTTCTGCAGGACCTGGATCCAAAGCTAAATGCTCAATCTGCCCATAGTTACACTTGTGTACTTTCATCATATTCAACAAATAAAAAGTATTCTTCTCTTTCTGGAGTTATCTACGACAACTGGGAATGTGTATGCTGTGTAGAACAGGGCCTATCAGTTGATTTTTTTTTTTTTTAATAGCTCTGCTTTTGTAAGAGAAACTTGAAAAATCCACATATCATTTTTAATAATATCCTCTATTAGCTGTGCCTTTTTTCTGTTAAAATCTCATAAGTTATACAGAAGAGTATTGAGAGATTTCTTTACTTGTTTTTAATGATTCTTCATAGTTCATTCCCTTTTTGGTTTTATTACCTTGCTTTGGACTATGAGCTTAATCTTGTTTGCTTTATTCAAATCAGGGTCCTCATCCTATTTCTTTTTAAGTCAATGGGACAATTAATTTTTATTTCCGTTTGCATGGTCTGGACAGACAAAATCACATTTTTGTTTGTTTTTTATATCTTCACAGTATTATTATTTTTAAAGGACAGAATTCTTACATGGTTAAAACTCTCATTGTCAAATGGATTTTTGTAAGATAACAAGTTACCATGCATCAGAGGTCCACTGTAATTCTCCATGCATTCAGTCTTAGCCTGTAGTAAATACTGAGTATTTCAAGTCAGTTTACCTCTTTTTCATTGCAAACTAAGTCAACCTGAATGACTTACCCTTTGCTGCAACCTGAGCATACACAAGCAGAGTAACCATGGACTGCTGGGTCTCAGTAATGTGTTACTCTGAGCAAACCTATAAACCTTAAGATCAGGAGCTCTCTCTCATTTTATTTATTAAAGAGTGAAGTTTGTGCAGGGAAAAGTCCATCTCCTAACATGGGGAATGTGGGTTGGTTTTGTAGGGCACTCCGTGTTTAGCCAAAAATCTCATTCACACCAACTGAAAAGAGCTGCACAGGTGTTACTCTGGTGGTATTTCACAGAAATGAATTTACTGAAGTTATTCTGGTAAAATTGAAAGCAGAATATAGTAATTGCTAAAGAGATAGCTCTTAGCTTGAACAATTGTTATACACTTACTGGCTCCTGCAACTGCAGCTCTGTTAATAGCAAGCAATTTCTAAAGGGGAGGAATTGGACTGCAGGGAATACTGAGAGCCTTTCTATAATAATGTAAGTTTAAAATATTTATATAACTGTGTATTTTGGAACATGTATTTCAAACAATACTATTCTTCAATACAAGTCCAACCCCAAATCACATGATGTTAATAGAGGCTCGTAGGAAAAGAACACAAATTTGTCTCAAATGCGGTAAGTTTATTTGTTTGGAATTCCTCTAGATTTACACTGAGACTGGTCCTAATTGACTCAAAAGGGACGTAAACACATGCTTAAGGCTTTGCTGTGTTGGGCCCTCTGGTTCCATTGCGAGCTGTGCTCCTTTTGGAAGTTTTCTGCTTTTCATGGTTGCATATACCTACATTGCATCTGCCCGGTGTGTGTTCAGTAAAGACTGACTGTATATGAAAAACTGACTTATACAAATGTTGCTTTTTGATTGTTCGGCTTTTGGGTTTTTTTTAAAGTTGTGAATGAATTGCCAGTGTAGGAGCCAGGTATGTATCTCATATTGTGGTGGTCTGGATCCTTTCACTCCGTGTGCCATTTTCTTCCAAGGGCAGCAATGGCTGACTGGCTAATGGAGGATGGAGCTGAATTGTATTAATTTTATATTTGTCTCAGGGGATCAGCTCTGTGAATTCCATTGCATGAGGGAGGCTAATGTTTGCCCTGATTTGAATGTAACTTTTTAATGTCTTTACTATTTTGTTTAATAATGTGGATTTGTTTTTCTAGCATTCTAGTAAATGTTACCTAGTGTGTTGGTTCATTTTCCCCTCCAGGGTTGTTTATATACTACCCCAAGGTCATGCCAAAAAGTAATAGAAGTTTAAATGCCAAATGTTTATGAAACTGCTGTCTAAATACTGATTGATTGCACAGTTGAAATAAAAGTTTTCCTTAGAAAAAGTGCTACTTGATAAATATTTTATTTTCAGTGTCTCTGAGTGGCTCAAAACAAGGAAGATATCAATACAGTGCCTCATTTTAGGCTGAGCAGCTAGGGAGATGTTGGCACTTAAAGTCATAAAAAGAGGCAGAGAGTAAACTGCACATGCCTTATAGTTGAAATTCATGGAACCTTCCCAAGTATGTATTCAAGTATAACTTATGTACCTGGAATTATTTCCCCGCCTAAAAACTCTGTCTGTGTCCCAGTACTGTCAACCACCCATGCAAGATCTCTGTTCTGGTTGATTTTCATTGGGTGTAAATGTGGTTCTCAGCACAGTTGTTCTCAAAAGTCTGAAGAGCTGCTGGCAAAGCTGCACTACTGATTTTTTCCCAGCTTTTTTACACCTGCTAACTGTTGAACCTGGTATTTCAACATATGACCAGACTATGAAAATGCAGTTGCTGTTGGTCAAAAGGCAAACTACTATTTTTACAAAGACCTACATTCTAGGCGAAAGTCAGGTTAAATTTGTGAGAAAAAAAGGCTGTTTTAGTAGCTTTCTTTTAACCTGAATTCAGAAGGAAAGGAACCTAGAAGTTACCAAACCTAGCTCTTCTATACTCAATAACATTTTTAGGCCTGATGCATCACAACTGAAGTTACTGTTATTGCATCAAAGCCACCCTTTTCAACAGTCAAGGTTGAGTTATGAAGTAAAAAAAAAAAATAGTATTT